GATGATATTCTGATATAATCAAGTATGATATAATTATATGATATTATATTCCGTTTTCCAAGTTGATTTCATTCTCTCCTTCTCTTTCAGAGACACCAATAAGTCATAGATTTGGTCTCTTTACATAATCCCATATTTCTCAGAGGTTTTTTTTATTCCTTTCTCTTCTTTTTACTGTGTTCCTGTCTTCTTTCAGAAAGCCAGTCTTCAAGCTCTGACATTCTTTTCTCTGCTCGCGTTATTCTGCTGTTAATACTTGTGATTGCGTTATGAAATTCTTGTAGTGCTTTTTTTCAACTCCATCAGGTCAGTTACATACTTTTCTACACTGGCTCTTTTGTGTGTCAGTTCCTGCATTGTCTTATCATGATGTTTAGCTTCCTTGGACTAGATATCAGTGTACTCCTATAGCCCAATTATCTTAGTTCCTATCCATCTTCTGAATTCTATTTCTGTCATTTCAGCCATCTCAGCTTGGTTCAGGTCCTTGCTGGAGTGGTGGTGCTGTCTTTGGAGAAAGGAAGACACTCTGGCTTTTTGAGTTGTCAGGGCTCTTGCACTGATTCTTTCTCATCTTCGTGGGCTTATCTACCTTCAGTCTTTGAGGTTGCTGACCTTTGGATTTTTTTTTCCTTTTATCCTGTTTCATGACTCTGAGGGTTTGCTTGTGGTATAAGGTGGATTCAGCCAACTAGTTTTATTTCTCGAAGATTTTAGTGGGCTAGTGTTCATCTCCCAACTCCTGAATTGCATTCTCTGACTCTGAGGACTTGTACTGGACCCTTTGTTCTCTGGCTCCTCAAGGTTAGGGATCCACTGCTCTGGCAGGGTGAGGAGTTCGGGGGGGTGCCAGGTTGCTCCCAGAGTGCTGATTACTACGCTGGGATGGGTGGCATCAGCCAAAGTTTTTGGTGTGGTGACAGTGGAATCCATCCAAGTGGTGGCAGCTGTACCAGGCATTCACCAAAGTGCTAGCTGGTACCAGAGTACCATGGTGCCAGCCTTCCTGCAGGCATTCACCAAAGTGGCAAAGGGAACCAGCTGGGATGGGCAGGGGGCCCCTGCTAGTGATTGTGTGCATGGTCATGCTGGAGTTGGTGTTGGCTCAAGGGCAGGGTGGTGGTGCATGCAGGTCTAGGTGTCTTCTCTGTTTCCTGCAAGCAAGAGTGGTTGCTCAGCATGAGGGAAAATCTACTGTTCTCTGCGCAGTGTTAGCACAAGGGCGGGCTGCTGGCGAGGACAGGGTTGGTTGGCTCTATGCCTGCCAAAGCTCCATCTGCTATGGTGGTGGGTGGAGGAAGAAGGACAGACTGCACTCCTGTGCGCTGGTGGGGCAAGGACAGCAAAAGTACCCACACAGACACATGCCAGCAAAACTATGTGGGGAGTTGCTGTGGGCCTGGGGAAGGCTGCAGTATGGAGAGGGAGAGGGTGGAATGCTGTGTGGCTGTTGGGGCCACACTGCTGGAGCTCTCCACCAGTCAGGCACAGTCCACCAGTGCAGAAGCTAAGGTGCAGGTTCCCAGGGGACCCGAGACTGCCCTGCAAGCAAGCGTGGCTAGAGTGGAGCCTTAGAAGAAGCCAGTAGACCAAGGTATGCTCAGGTTGGACTGGCCCCATCTGATGGGCAAGACCACCCTGCAGAGTTCAGATCTGACAGTTCCCCTAGAGCTAACGTCTCCTATGGGAGCAAGTGGAGCCTAGAGAGGTACACATCCCTGGCCATGCTCTGCTACAGAGGCTCCCGCACCAAAGCTTCTGGGCTCCACAGGCTTGCTGCCCCAATCAATTCTCTAAGAAGCTCTCCCTGATAATTTGAGTGTCCATAGTGGTCGAGGAGTCTCCTCTGCTAGCATTCCAGACACCTGTGGCAAGAGTAGGTTGTTCCTTGCCCACTCAACTCACCCATTGCCCTGGAGCCATTAGGGTCCAGGAATGAATCCCGGTATATGGTAGCCCTGTGCACGGTTCCACTTTCTCTTTCTTCAGCCCAGTTCTGTGTCTTCTCCCCATCCACTTTCAGTGTCTTCCTTCAGAAGATCTGTTAGGAGCATGCCAGTTGTCTTGGTCCCTCAGTGGGAGCTGTTCACTTGGCTGCGTCTAGTTAGCCATCTTGCTCTCCCACCGTTTGTTACAAATAAGCCTACACTGACCCATCATTACCACTCAAAGTTTACAGTTTACAGTAGGTTTCACTCCTGATGTTGTATGTTCTATGGGGTTTGACGAATGCATAATGATGTATCCATTATTATAGTATCGTGCAGAATACTTTCACTGTCCTAAAAATCCTTTGTGCTCTGCCTGTTTCTCTCTCTCTCTCTCTCTACCATCCCTGGCAACCACTACCTTATTACAGTGTTCACAGCTTTACCATTTCATATATTAGAAGTATATAGTATATAGCCTTTAAAGACTGGCTTCTTTCACTTAGTAATATGTTTTTAGGGTTCTCTCATGTCTTTGTATGACTTGATTACTCATTTTTGTAATGCTGAATAATCTTCCATTGCCTGAATTCCCATCATTTATTTCTTCATTCACCTGCTAAAGGACATCTTGTTTGCTCAAAATTTGAGAAAATTGTAAGTAAATCTGCTACGAACATGTATATACAGGGTTTTTTTTAATAGAAGTAAGTTTTCAATTCATTTTAGTAAATACCAAGGAGTATAACTTCTGGGTCATATAATTTTATGGACTGAATGTTTTATTCTCCCAAAATTTGTACATTAAAATCCTACCTTTCAGTGTGATGGTATTAGGAGTCATGGTCTTTAGGAGGTGATTAGATCATGAGAATGGAGACTTCATGAATGGTGTTAATGCTTTCATAAGACAAGACAGGAGAACTTGCTCTAGGTCTCTGCTCTCTGCACCATGTGAGGATACAATAATACAGCTAAGAGCAAACCAGCCAATAAAGTAGCTGTAATTTTGATTTCTACATAGACAGTCTTGTGATGTGTTAAAACAGTTTTATTTTTTCCTTCCCAATCTCTATACCTTTAATCACTTTTTTGTCTTATTACACTAGCTAGAACCTCCAATATCATGTGGAAAACAGGGTAGAATGCGATACTGTTGTTCCCGATCTTAGCAGAAAAGATCTAGTTTTTCAATATTAGATATGTGGTAGCTGCAATGTAAAAAAATTGGATGGTCTTTATCGAGTAAGTTCCCTTTTATTCCTAGTTTGCCGAGTGCTTTTGTTATGAATGGGTGTTAGTTTTGTTAAGTGCAGTTCTGGATCCATTGACATAATCATGTGATTTTTCTTCTTTAGCTGGTTGAAGTGATGGGTTATGTTAAATGAGTTTTGAATGTTAAATCAGCCTTGAATATTTGCACAATTTGCATACCTTGGTCATTGTGTATAACAATTTTTTTACATTGTTGAATTGTATTTGCTAATTATTTCATGGAAAAATTTGCATTTATGTTATTAGGGGAGGGGCTAAACTGAGTTCCCTCTCCCAAACTTGTATGTTGGAGTTATAATCCAAAGTACCTCAAAGTGTGACTATATTTAAAGATGAAAACTTTAAAGAGGAAATTAAGTTAAAATGAGATTATTATGATTTGCCTTAATCCAGTATGACTCGTGTCCTCATAAGAAGAGATTAGGACAAAGCCTGAAGATCATGTGAAGATGCAGGAAGAACATGGTCATCCTCAAGCCAAGGAGATGTAGAGAGGCCATGGAGGAAACTGGCCTTGCCATCACCTTAATCTCAGAACTGCTAGCCTCCAGATCTGTGAGAAAATCAATTTCTGTTGTTTAAACCATCTAGTCTACGGTTCTTTGTTATGGTAGCTCTAGCAAAGTAAGACATATATTCATGAGAGTATTGTTCTGTAGTTTTATCCCCTTCAATATTTTTGTCTGGTTTTGGTAATAGAGTAATTCTGGCCTCATAGAGTGAGTTAGAAAGTGTTCCCTCTGTTTCTATCTTCTGAAATATATTTTAGAGAATTGATATTTCTTCCTTAAATGATTGGTAGAATTTTTGAATGGATCCATATGGGCATGGTGCTTTCCGTTTGAAAGGTTATTAGTTATTGATTAATCCCATTTAAGAGATATAGGCCTACTGAGATGTTCTGTCTATTGCTGTGTGAGTTTTGGCAGTTCGTGTCTTTCAAGAAATTGGTGAATTTCGTGTAGGTCATCAAATTTGTAGGTATTAGGTGGTTTATAGTATTCCTTTGTTATCCCTTTAATGTCCATGGGATTTGCGGTGATGTCCCCTCTTTCATTTCTGATATTATAAATGGTCTCTTTTCTGTTTCTAGTCTGACTGAAGGCCCCTTAATCTTTCCAAAGAAACATCTTTTGTTTCAGTGATTTACTCTATTGACTTTACTTTTTAAAAATTTCATTGGTTTCTTCTATAATTTTTATTATTTTTGTCTTAGTCATCTTGGTTGCTATTAGGTTGGTGTAAAAATGCTATTACTTTTGCACCAACTTAATATAATGAAATGCTATGAACTGGGTGTCTTAAACAACAAGCATTGATTTCTCACAGTCCTGGAGGATGGAAGTCTGAGATTAGGGTGCCAGCATGGTTGGGTTCTAGCAAGGGCCCTCTTCTTGGTTTATGTACAGCTGTCTTCTTCCTGTGCCCTCACGTGGTAGAAAGCTAGTTCTCTGGCCTCTTCTTGCAAGGGCACTAATCTCACTCATGAGGGCTCCATCCTTATGCTAATTACCTTCCAAAGCTTCCACTACCAACTATCATCACATTGGGTACTTTGGAGAAATAGAAACATGCCGTCCATAACAATTTTCTTTTCCTTACTTTGGATTTAATTTACTTTTTTTTTTCTTTTTTAAAATTAATTTGATTTATAAGACAAGCAAAATTCAGCAATTTTCAATGGAAAAGGCCATAGTATTTGAAAACCAGGAATATTTCGATGCTGAATTTTCTCAAAGCAGTACTCCAAGCCATTAAGTTAGCACAAACTCCAAATTCACAATTACTTACATCACCTCAATTTAATAATCCAATGAATGACCCAAAAAAGACAAATAAGGAAAATAGCATCATATAGCACAGTGGCTTTGTTTGGCTCCCTCTGGTTAAACTCTTCAGTTTGGCTGTACTTTTACCTCGTAATCCAGATGTAGAATCAAATTGTGAATCCATTTCAGCTAATAATTTATTTTGGGTTTTAACTTTATGGCCTATTTGTATGGAAAGAGATTTTATAGTAGCTGCTTTGCTTCTCAGACTTTCAGTGAGTCTCTCATTTTCTTCTTCCCAGGCTCTCTGTCCACTCTTAGCAATAGCCATAGTTCCCATGGTTGCCAGGAAGTACTCCTTCACCCAGGCCTGCAGGCTTCATTCTGCCAGGGGAAAGAGGGAAAAGGTGGGCATGGGGGCAGGGTGGAAGATCAGTAGGAAAGAACTAGGAGTGACCCAGACTGCATCTTCAGTGCCAGGGTCCCATGGAACACCAACTTCTTCCCCCAAGCACCACGCTATGAGTGGAATCTAAACCTTACTCTTCTTTTTCTAAGGTCAAAGCTTGGATTATCATTTTTATATTGTTCTTTGTTTCTAATACATGCACTGAAGGCTGTAATTTTTTCTCTAAGTAATGGTTTTGTTGCATCTCACACATTTCGGTGTTATATTTTCATTACACTTAGTTGAGCATATTTTTTAAATTGCATTTTGGGTTTTGGGGTACATGTGAAGAACATGCAAGATTGTTGCATAGGTACACACATGGCAGTGTGATTTGCTGCCTTCCTCCCCATCATCTATATCTGGCATTTCTCCCCATGCTCTCTCTCCCAGCAAGCAACACTAAGCTAAACAGCTGTGGCTGGAGAAGGGAAGTTTTCTCTTTAAGAGCTGGGTGGAAGATTATTCTCTTGTATTTGGGAAAAGATAATCATATACTTTCATTCTGTCAGGGTAGGGCCTTTTCTGTTTTTGTTTGTTGATTGCTTGTTTTGTGGCTTTGGCTGTGTGGATACAGAGCAGGAAGGCTTGAAGCAGGAAGGGGCTGGGTGTTTTTCTGACCCTCCAATAGTTCTTTTTGAATTGGAAAGAAATATTGTAGTGGCAAACATGATCTTCAGCTGCAGAGGAAGCAGAGTCCCGGGAGTTTTGCATCAAGAACAGACACAAGGATCAGGAACTGTAAACAAGTCAGGAAGCTTGACACCAGAGAGAAGAGCCCACGCAAGGTAAGGGGTCTCCAGACCCTGTACAAAAGAAATGTACAGGAGGAAAGCCAATGGATTAACAATTGTGATGGAATAATCAGAAAGATTATGAATTATACTTACATGTTTCTTTAAAAGGGATTACTCCTTTGGCTTAATGATTGGGCTCTGTTCTTTTATTGTTTTATTTTTTTAAGTATTAGGCTTACTTCTTTTTAACCACACCTCACATTTGGGACCCAGAGCGCAAGGCATCTACTGCCACCTGGTGGTAGAGTGTACCACCTGTGGGATTTGGAATTGAGATTCTACGTTGATTGAAAATTGATTCTGCAGTTGAAATATGTAACCATAGAACATTAGAGTTGTTGGAGATATTAAATATTACATAGTTTTCGTCTAATAAAACCCAACATCTTTTTACATACAGTATTTTAGTTGAATACCTCTGATGACAGGGAACTCATGACCTGGCCTGATAGGCTATTTTGTCATTCATTCCTGTTAGTTAGAATGTTTTTCTTTTTATTTATTTTTTAATAGAAAAAAATCACTTGTATTTATTTGTCTTCATGTTTGCCTTTGGAGAAACTCATAAGTTTAGTGACTCATCTACAAAAGACTGGGCGATACATATATGTATATTAAATGTAGATCTCAGACATGAAAATTGCCCTTGTTAATTTTGACCTAGTGTTCAAATCTGCCCAGATAATATTACATCTTGATTTCAGTCATCTATTATGATATGAAGCCCACTATTCCAGTTTTGCATCATCTGCCCATATTAAAAGCATATCTTTGATTCATGATCTAAGGAAATGGTTGTTTTAAAAGTTAAACACAACAGTCAAGGGAGGAGCTCTGTGGCCATTACCAGAGACCTGTATTCCACCTAAAGCTCACTGTATCGTCCTAACAAACACTTCGGTCCGTGCAGTTTATCTACAGAAATTCTACCTAGCTATATGCTCATCCCATTCATTTTTCACCATGTTAAATGTAAGAATATCATGGAGGACATTTGCAAAAGGCTTAGCAGAAATTCAGAGTCACCTTCTATGACATTCTCTTGTCTTCCCTAGCGGGACTGTCATGGAGAGAAATGAGAACAGCACACATTGCTCCCGGGCATGTGTTATTTAAAATAGATCCTGGCAACACTTTAATGAGCAATGTGTTTATGTACCTCCATGCAAGAGTGTATTCAGTCTCAAAGACATCAAGAAAAAATAAGCTGTCCACTCCTAGTCGCCTGCCTTACCTCTATGTTCTCAGTCCAGTTGGTCTCCCAGGGAAACTGTCTTATGGCTGAGACGTAGCTGCTTTAGTGACAAGCCCACGAGTTGTATTTCCAATATTATTCAGGCTGATTCGTCCCACCCCAACATAACAGAGGTAAAGGGGCTGGGTGCAGTGGCTCGTGCCTGTAATTTCAGCACTTTGGGAGGCCAAAGCAGGCAGATCGCTTAAACCCAGGAGTTCAAGACCAGGCTGGGCAACATAGGGAGACTGTCTCTGCTAAAAATGTAAAAATTAGCTGGATGTGATACCATACACCTGTAGTCCAGCTACTCAGGAGGCGGAGGTGGGAGGATCCCTTGGTCTGCCAAGATCACTCCACTGCACTCCAGCCTGAGGGACAGAGACCCTGTCTCAGAAAAAACAAGCAAACAAACAAAAAACAACCCCCCCCAAACAAAAACAAAATAAAACAAAAAGACAGAGGTGTACTCACACAGACATCCACAGGCCTAGTGCATTGACACCACAGTCATCTTCACAGAGTTGCCTCTGTAAACATGGTAAAGGGACTTTCCCTGTATCACAGCCTTATTGGCTTACTTTGCACTATCCTAAAAAGAATAGAAATGATAGGCAGGTAATTTCTAACTCACTTTTATTTAGCTTTGAAATTTGTTATAAGACATGCCACAGATGACCCTCAAAACAGTAGTGAAGGTGAGCCTGTGGCCTCGAGGTTCTGGGTGGATGGTGGAGGATGGAGGCAGTGTGGCTGTCCCTGGATGCCCAGCTGCAGTTGCCTCAGGCTGCGTGGCTTCCTGGGCTGGGGTTTGGCAGCACCATTGCTCTTCTGTAGGTAGCCAGGCTTGCCTTCATTGAGGAAAAGTTCCTGCGTTCCCTCATTTTTAGGGCAACCAGTATGGAAAACATAACCTCAAATATCTTTGATGTAATCTCCAAGGGAAAGGTTGCTCCAACTTTTTCTTACTATAAGTAGAAATTCTGTTTCCCATTTTTCCTTCAGTGGGCCTGAGCTGTCAAAGGCCCTGGCAAAGTTACCACCAAGTAATTCTTCTCCAGAATCCCACAGTTGGCTGATTTTGGGGGGTGGGGTGGTGGTGGTGTCAGTTCTACTTCAGAAAAGTAGAAGAAACAACAAATGCTCCTTTAACAATCCTAAAAAACATACTGAGGAATGCAGAAGGGTAGAAGTGATGCCAAATGAGTGAGCTGTGCCCCTTTTGCATTCTGCAGTGTCCCTTTACTCTGAGCATCACGTTAGGTGCTTGTTGCTGATGGAAGGCAGCAGTGGGGTGGGATAGAACTATATGATCGTGACAATGATTTCTGTTCAGAGGAGTTTACAGTGTGGTAAACAGTCTGCAGACAACATGAATGCAATGAACTAACCAGTGTTTCTCTTGAAAGAGAGTGATGCTTGGGTAAAAAATCACCCTCATAAAGAAGAGTCCACTTTTTGTTTTCATCCGTGCGGAGTGACATTAATTCTTCACATGCAGGCATGATAAACAGAATAAAGCTTCTGCTGCTTGCTTCCGGTTAAACAGGCCTATCCTAGGTAAACCTGTATTCCCCTCTGAGATTACCTCTTCCTTCTGGTACTTGGTTGACCTCCTGCCTTGGGCAGGGCTACACCCACGTCCACTTTTTTCTGGAGTTACTGCTAGAAGGCAGAAACTGTGAGCTCTTGGAGAGCAGCCTTGGTGTTCTGTTCCATCATGTATTTCCAGGCATAGTCCAGGGTGTGACATCTTGTAGGCACTTAGTAAATGCTTGTTGAGTGATGAAAGCTGCCCTTCATCTATTTCCCATTCATTTGTTCAGTACATATTTATTGAGTGACTTCTCTGTGCCAGCACTAGGGATACACCAGTGAACAGGACCTGGTTGGGGAGACACATGATAATATGGGGACGCTAATATGGGGTTGAGAAGGCACAAGATACGGTGGGTGCAGATGCAGGGATGGCCGGCCCAGCTGAGTTGGCCAGGAAGGCTTCCTGGAGACCTGAAGAACTAGCAGATAGCGAGATGAAGGCCCGATAGGAAACAATGTTTCAAGCCTAGGAAGAGCATATGCAGTGGTCCAAAGGGAAGAGATAGCTTAGCGTGGAAAAGTGAGGGCTGACCACATAGTGATAATGACAAACACATATATAGTGCTTTCTGTGTGCCAGATATTATTCTAAGCCCCGTACATTTATGAAGTTATTTAAATACTGTTATCATCCCCATTTTACAGCAAACGGAGGCACAAAGAAGGTTAGTAATTTGACTGATCTCACACAACTGTTAGAATTGGCTTTTGAAGGCAGTTGGCTGCGGAGCCTTGGTGGTGACAAAACAATAATGCTGGTGTGTGTGTAGCACTGATTCCCAGTGATAATCCTGGCACCATGTTGGATATGCCTGGGCCTTGTGGTAACAATCAACTTGGAGATTGTCTTGTTAAGCCTGACAACTTCTGACACACCCTAATTGCTGACTCTGTCTGTGTTAGGCAGATGATGAAATTCCTTGCCTCAGTGGTTGGTTTTGTTGTGTCTTATCCTATGTGAACAGACTGTAGGGAGGGTGTCCCGACCTCTTAGTGAGAAGGGACTTAGGGCTCAAACAACAATTTAACTGTAGATGACCAAATCACATTCTCCACGGTAGATTCCCATTGCTAATTGGGGAGAAAAAGAAGGGAAAATGGTTTAAAGACCAATACCCAGAAAAGGCCGACCTCTCCTGGTGCTTGGCCACTGTGTGTGTTTGTTGGAGCTACGGGTTGTGAGGAAGAATAGTTGGTTGATTGCCAACTTGGCTCCAAGGGAATGGGCCTCAAAGGGGGTTAAGGTATTGGTTCTGCTTTCTTTTCTTCCAGTTTGTAAGTGGTAATCCAATCTATTAGTGCACAGGCATGCCTCAACTCCCTTGTTGTTTTCCTTGTCCATTCTGTAAACCTTTTAATTATCTTCAAAATCTATATTGTCTTCTGTTTCCTGTGAGGACCAGACTAATAGGAAATCCAGATGAACTATATTGGTAGCTGGGAGGGGATGAGGGGATCTAAGGGAGGTGGTGGTGAGGGAATATGAAGAAGACGTGTTTGAGAGATGCATAGAAAATGGAGAGGACTTGCTGATAAGAGTTGGAAAGTAAGACAAAGGGGAGGTATTTGTTGACCCTGGTTTCTGGGTTTTGTGTCTTGATGGGTGGTGGGAGAGATCCACATTTAGGAAGGAAGCTTGTGAACTCATTTCTCTCCAACATTTCATTATGAAAAACATGCAAACCAGGAAAGTCAATTTTGGATATGTTAAATTAGGTAGTACTTTGGAGTCATCCAAGAAAAGTTAGCTGCTGGATAGTTGAGCCTGGAGCTTGGCAAAGACATGTGGGCTCCACTACATCTTTCTAGTTGTCTGTGGCTTCAGAAGTTGCTCTCATATTACTTCCTCAGGAAAACCTCTCTATCCTGCCCCTGCAAATAAGCTGTGTGCCCCATACTACTATGTAGTAGCGTCGTTTCTCACAATTATAAACTTGTGATTAGTTATGTAATGTCTGTCTTGCTAAGTAGAATTTAATCTCTATGAAAACAGGGACCTCGCCTTGTTCAGAGCAGTGTCCCCAGTGCCTAGCCCAGTCCCTTGCACATAGTAGGAATTTCTTAATTATTTGTTGAATAAATCAATGAATCACCATTATTTAGACTGCTTTGGTGCGTCGGGGCTGACAGCTACTTGAATGTCTGAAGCTCAGGATTATCCAGGACTAGCCCTTTGAGCCTGGTCTGGAGGTTTAGTCCCTCTAGTATCATGGATACACAACTCTGCTTATCTGTCTAGTCTTTCATAATTCAGCACAGTGGACCGATGACTTTGCCAATTGGCTCACCTCTGAAGTGTGAAAGTCTCCATTCAGGTTTGACCATGTTCCAGTTTTTAGGAAATGACCAAAGTTGAAAGTATATGAAGATCTAAACTAAAAACACAGATTTATGGCCAGGATCTAAGATTCAAAAAGTAAGAGGCTGTGGATAAGAAGCCACATGTTGGGAGCATGAGCTCAGTTCTGCTTGGAAAGATCTGAGGGCCTGTGCTGTTGCCTTTCTCCAAGCCACTTAGTGCTCTTTGGGGCTATTTTGAACCTGGAGATTCTTGGCCTTTTGAGATAATATATAACTTTGAGAAATTGCTCAAAGCTTTATAATTGTTTCTTCAGAAAAATGCTAATGAGCACATTTTGTCAACATATATATATATATATATATATTATCAGAGGCGTTCAGGAGCCTCTCCAAGGATTTCAGGTTAAGATTCCTATTCTAACCTAATTTGAAACCAGCCTTCCACACTGGGGTGTCCAGCTCCTTCTGTTGCAGGGCCCTGGTGGTCCTGGAAGTTGTCAGTTAACTAGGGATTGTAGGTCCCTGGTGAAAGAGTATCAAGGAGAGGAAGGGCATGGAGCATAGACAAAATGGAATTGAGACATAATCTTTGCATTTCCCACCGAAGCTTATGTATCTGCAGTCTTCACTTTAATCGAAATAGCTTAATTTAGGAAAGAAAGAACCCACTGTTTTTGCTTTTTGCCTAATAATGTTGGCTATTATCATTAATACAGTGTTTGTAATTTTGCCTTCTGAAAAAATTTTTAAAGGTGAAATACAAACCATATGTTACAAGGGCCGTCATTTGACAGTTTAACTGGGGTCACTCTAGGACTCTATAGATATTGCTGATTATTATAGGAAAGCCAGTGGGATGGGTCTGACAAGGATCTGTTGGCAGCAAGGATCAAGAGACCCCCTTTGGAATAATCTTATCACAAGGAAGAAGTGTTTGGGGACAATGTGCCATGTTTGTGGGTCAGGTGTGAATTATAATACAGCACAATGACAGTCACTTATTGCCCTGCAGACCCTGAAGACTTGTGCCTGACCCAAAGAGAAACATTAACAGTGACTAAAATGTTAAGATTTTGTTTTATTAAAATATCTGTAAGGCAGTGTAGCAGATGTGGGTGGCTTCCTGCTTGAGAGCCTTTTTTCTGGAGCAAAAGGAGCAAGCTGAGGCAAGCTGGAAAGGCAGAACACTAATGCCCCTGGAAGACGCCCTCAGTCAATGACAGGTGGGGATTATCCAGTGATGGATGAAGAGCTTCCTCACCCCTTTGATTGGGATAACTCTGAGATGTGTTCTATGCTGTCTCCCAGAGTTCCTCAGCAGTATTGGGGCACAGGGGCAACTGGCTGGACAACACACCATTTATTGGCTTTCTTCCCATCACTATATCTTACTCCTCCTACCCCTGTTCCACTGTTCCTGAGATCGCCTCCGAAATAAACTATTTGCATGTAAATCTCTGTCCCAGGGATTATTTCAGGTGGGGATGGGAGGGTAGGAGGAATCCATACTTAGGCACTGAGGATGTATACAAGGCATCATAGGTTTGGAGCCAGACAGATCTGGATTCAGATTCCTTCTCACCAGTGACATTGAACAACTTAATTTATCTAAGATTGTTTCTTAGAGATGACACTGACTTGATAATGGAGACAATGACTTCATAAGGTCATATTGTAAGGACCAATTTGAGAATGTATATAAAGCACTGTACCCAGTGCCTTACACATGGTAAGTGCATAATAAATGTTGGCTATTATCATTAATACAGTGTTTGTAATATTGTTAATACAGCATAACTCAGAGGGCAAAGCACAAAGCTGTTTTCCATCCTTGGGGTCACTGCAGCTTGATTTCGCAGATGTCCTATAAATACTGTGTCCCTGGTGAGCAGCTGTGGCATAGCAATATCAATAGCTTGGAGCAAGCATTGCCGTGGTAGGAGAGGAGGAAGATGGTGCACACCAAAGTGGTGGCTTAAAAGAAGAGCAATTGGCATTGCAACAATGGTATTGCCAATTGTGCTTAGTCTTGGTAAGCACAGATAGCTACAGCACCAGTAACTTCGTGTCTGTGTCCAGTATACACTTTGTTGGAATTTTATTAGCTTCACTCTTGAGTGGTTGTGTTCAAGGCTACCAGGACTTAGTTTCTGATTTCAACCTGTTTTCCAATGTACAAAGGACTCTTTCGCTTTTGTTACATTTATGATCCTAATTTGTTATTTACGGTATTTCAAATTGGACTGTCTCTTCTGTCCCCCGTCATTCCCTATTTGCAGACAAAACCACATGTCAGTTCTTTGGCCATAGTGGAAAAGAAACTGAGAGACACCAAGAATCTAAGGCAGGTTAAAGGATTTTGCTCATTCTCTAATCCTGATTTATTATAGGGCCAGGTTTCACCTGTAGTGCTTCAGCCTTCTCAAACAGCCTCAGGTTCCAGAGCAGAGAGAAATGATGGGCCGCTTTGGCTAGGAAGGTAGACAGCCACTAGGATTAGTTGTTGCCCATCCCTGCAGGTGCAGCCCAGTGCTGTGGGGGAAGAGTTTGTTTCACTCCCTTTTATTGTTTCACTCTAGTCAGAAATCGAGGACGATGGTAACATCCAATCACAATCTCCTCTTACCTTTAGACAATAGACAAATTTCTCCTCAATTGATGTAGAGAGATATGCATATAACATAACATGATTTTTGAGCAAAAGCAACCTTTAAGAGGGGACAGTGTTACAAATAGAAGGAACTGACCCAGCCACTTTGGCACACCTGACATTAAGAACCATAATCACAGCCTGTTAATCTCATCTGTTTCCTTTGAGAAAGGAAAATCCTTCAGACATTGTCAGAAGGTCTTAGGCTCGTGTAGGGGATTTTCTCCGGTGGGTTCCATGACATCTGTATATGGTTTGAGAAAAGTCCATTGACACTGACACTTTCTAATACTGTTAGTTCTTCTCAAAGCCATTTGCATGAAAGTGATTTATGTTCATCTTATGTTAGCATTAGACTGTGAGCTCCCTGAAGGCAGAATTTAGATATTACTTATTTGTATGTGCTCAGAAGCCTGCATAGTTCCTGGAATGTTGCCAGGTTTAGCAAAAACCAAAACAAAACTTATTTGTTGTTTGTCTGAAATTCAAGTTTAACTGGGTGTCCTGTATTTTTTCTGGCAAGCCTATTCCTGGCACATAGCTAACTTCAATAAATATTGCTGAGTGAGAATATGAATGAATGACTAGCACAGTACCAACAAATGGAGAAATAAACTGGTAAAAACTTCAATTGGCCACATGAAAGACACTCATCTAAATGATGCCTAACAATCACAGAACAACACACTGTGTCTGGTTAACAGTCTACCTTTTAAAATCGGACTGTCTGGCTTTGATTGGAGATGCATTTCTATCCATGCTTTGTCAGCCCCTTTTACTCAGTGTCCACGTGGGAGGAATACTAATCTCCTGGGAATGAAGATGTTTTGTTCCAACAATTTCACATCTTAATTCCACACATTTCTGATTTCATGTTTGTTTAATTGTTTATTCGTGTGTGCCAGTTGTACAAGATAATTGATTTTGGAGGGTATATGGGTTTCAGTCATTCTGAAGTACAGTCATCTCTGCATCTTCCTTTAAAACTGCCAAAATTGTGCTTTTACTCCAGCTGAACCCTAGGGTTCTGGGTAAAGTCATTCACTCTGATGATTGATTTTGGAGGGCATATGGGTTTCAGTCATTCTGAAGTACAGTCATCTCTGCATCTTCCTTTAAAACTGCCAAAATTGTGCTTTTACTCCAGCTGAACCCTAGGGTTTTGGGTAAAGTCATTCACTCTGATGATACCATCAGGACCAATTCTGTTTGGAAAAAGGTTTATCTGCAGTTAGTTCATTGACAGTTAATCTTAAGAAAGAAAATATACAAACAATTCTCTCATTTCAAATTCTGCTGTTGATCTTTTTTCTCTTAACTTTGTTATTTTCGGAGTCAGGCTCTGGCTCTGTCATCCAGGCTGGAGTAAGTGGTGCAATCTTGGCTCACTGCAACCTCTACCTCCTGGGCTCAAGCCATCCTCCCAATTAAACGGTACAGGCACACACCACCACACCCAGCTAATTTTTGTATTTTTAGTAAAGACCAGGTTTCACCATATTGCTCAGGCTGGTCTTGAACTCCTGAGCTCAAGCCATCCACCCATCCTAGGATTACAGGTGTGAGCCACCATGCCTGGCCTCTTTTTCTCTTAACCCTTGACTGCCTGCTGCTGCTCCTCCTCCTCCTCATCCTCTTCCTCCTCCTCCTCCACTGCGGTTCCACTGGTCAAAGCAGAGCATGAGTCAGAGTTACTAGGGAGGCTTATAAAGACACAGATTCCTAGGCCCCACCCCTAGAGTTTATGATTCCATAGGTCCAGCGTGTAGCCTGCAATCCTGCATTTCTAACATGTTCTCAGGTGCTGCTGCTGTCACTACTGCTAGTCTCAGTAGCACTCAAAGAATTATTGTCCTATATAATTCTTTTTCTTCCTCTTCTCCTTCCCTTTCCCCTTTTGTTTCAGATCCATATTTCATGTTCCTCACAATACTTTTCTGTTCCCAGAGCAGTATAATATAATAATCTCACTCTATCTTGAGCTGTTAGATTTGTTATCCTGGTATTCTTTCACCTCTCCTTTGTAAAAGTTAACTTACACATCCTGCTCAATGTAGTTTAGCATCCTGCTGACGTGTGAAGCAGAGATCTCACCAAGCATTTTGGCAATATACGTGTAGAGAAACCGGAACGTGCTGAAAGGTATCCGGGGTGGCCCACCATCATGGTCACATAAGACCTCACACAGTAACGTGAGAGTGTCTGTGATAGTCTATAAAAGTTAGATAAAATGAGGAGAAGTTACCCTTCCAGGCAATAGTCCTGAGATCTGTTTAGATACAAGAAAGAAAACAAAAATACTGCTTTTATAAAATGAGGTGGGAACAATTTAAGACTCTAGAAAGCTTGAAATTTTTACATTGAAATGTCACTAATTCATTCTAAAAAATATTAAGTATTGGGTGTCTTTATTTTTTTCTCTCCTTTCTTTGTTGGAAGACTACTCAGGGAATTAAATTTATAAATTCCTAAGTACTTTAAGATATTTGTTACTTTAGTCCAAATAAACTCACTAAAGGAGGGAAGTTGATTTGCATTCTATATAATTAGAATTATTTCTTATTATTACCCCCCAATCTTATCTCTAAAGGGCTGAGATAAATAGTCTAGCCTATATACTGCAGCAAGATACTTGTGGCAACGCCACAGTAGAGGAGAAGAAGGTAAGAAAGAGAAGGGTAATTTCCCCAGGAAGATAGAGTCCCAGGAAGATACTGGAAAAATGGTCTTCAGCATCAAGATAAATGTTCTTCTAAAACATACGGGTCTATCTAAATAGAATCACCTAGTGCCTTATTTTATATTGCATAATACTAACCCTTTTATTGCTGGGGAAATACTGGTAGGCAATGAGTGCCAGGCATTTTAATAAAAGAGTTACTACAGATGCAAACCCTCCTTACAGTGAAACTTGAACATTAAAAGGTCATGCTCAGAACTAATCTCATGTTTTTAAATAAACTCACCCTTGGAATAAATTTTACAGGTGAAACAGTTGTGAAATGAAGGTCAGCATATAGATCTTGGTGGTTTACTGAAATTAAAGATGTACAGATCGTCCTGACACACACTCTTCCAGGAATCAGTGAAAGAGCAGGCCTGAGTGGTGACTCAGGTGTGACTGGGTGAATGAAAAAGCAGCTGCTGTATCTTCCCACATGATTGCTAGAGGAGACTTGTCCTGCCTTAGCAGTAGATGTTTGCTCTTCTCTCATCCGCCCCCAGAATAGAATGATTGCCTAGACGGCGCTTCTCTAACTTTGGTGTGTAATAATTATTAATTTTTAATGAGTTAATATTTAAATTTTGTTGATTTGCATTTAATAAGCATGGTAATTTTATAAATAGATTATTCAGTAAACCACATGATGTCAAAAAAATGGGGAGTTTGCAGCAGGCCACCTTCCTTTCCTCTCCCCTGCCCCTGGGGGTCCTCTCATGGAAAGTGTTGTGTAACACTGCATCTTCTAGGCACTTCCACCTAATTGAGAGCGGGTGAGAGGGCAGGTTTGGAGCTAAGTAGTATGTATGAGGCTGTCTGGGAGGATGGTAAGTCATGCATGTGAGACGAGGTCAGCGGGAGAATGGTTTGGAGCAGATTTGGAAGCACACTCCGAACTTCATTATTTCCACCCAGCTCACCCTCTCTGTTTCTGTTAAAAAAAAAAAATCTGCACACCTAGTGCTTTGTTCTGTTGCCCTGTCCCATGGGGTCCTGGTATGGGCTGAAGTGTTCACCCTTAAATTCATATGTTGAAACCTTAACCCCAGAATCTGAGAATGTGATTGTATTTGAAAATCTGACCTTTAAAAAGTTAAGTTAAAATGAAGTCAGTAGAGTGTCTTTATATGAAGAAGAGTTAGGACATGAAGAGAGAGCCACCAGACATGTGGGCACAGAGGGAAACAGTTCAAGAAGCTGGCCAGCTGGCCGGGCGCGGTGGCTCACACCTGTAATCCCAGCACTTTGGGAGGCCAAGGCAGGTGGATCACGAGGTCAAGAGATCAAGACCATCCTGGTCGAAATGGTGAAACCCCATCTCTACTAAAGATACAAAACATTAGCTGGGCATGGTGGCGCGTGCCTTAATCCCAGCTACTCGGGAGGCTGAGGCAGGAGAATTGCCTGAACCCAGGAGGCGAGCTGAGATTGCGCCATTGCACTCCAGCCTGGGTAACAAGAGCGAAACTCCGTCTCAAAAACAACAACAACAACAACAAAAAGAAGCTGGCCAGTTTTAAGCCAAAAAGAAACGCCTCCAAAGAAAGCAATCCTGCTGACAGCTTGTTCTCAGAACTTCTGTGCTCCAGCACTGTGAGACGGCAATTTTCTGTTGTTTAAGCCACCAAGTCATGGCAGCCCTAACAAACTAACATAGGTGCTTTCTCAATGCTAAACATTATCATCTTTTATTGATTATTCAAACAACAAACCTTCAAATTCTATTGCTCTCATAAGATTTTTAAATTTTTAAGATTTAATAAATGGATGAGTGGATAAATAACTCTTTGGACTGGAGGTATTTAGCAAACTGACATAAATCTAAAGTAAACAGATCTTCATTCTCCTGCACAATATTTTTTTGGAATCCACTTCACAGAGGTAGTCTTTAAACATCTTACGAGCTTCATTTTCAAAGTCAGAAGTGAAAGCCTTGAAATGTGAATCATTGGCCTACAAAATATGTCATTCCTTCCAGTGAACATGATTATTTGCTACATATGTGGTCTCTTCCTTTTTAATCAGTTCAGTGGAATAGGAGGTGGCATAGACCAGTCCAGAGGAAGGAGTGCTAAAGGGAAGAGGAATACAGGTCTGCATGCCATTGCATTCTCAATAATGTCTGTCAGACCCAGAGAGCTAAAGAAGAGTAAATGTGCCTATTACCTATCAGAGTAAAAAATTCCTGCCACTAGACTCTTCTATAAGGAACAAACTGGCTTTTCTAGATGGCACAGAGATCGTGTCTTGCTGTTGAATTGGCAAAGGAAAGAGAAATTCTGAGCTTGCCTCTAAGGATATATGAATTGACTAGGAGGCAACATCTCCACCAAATGGTGACCCCTGACTTAGTCTCAGCTATAACAAAATACCTTAGACTGGGTAATGTACAAACAACAGAAATTTATTGCTTACAGTTTTGAAGTCTGGAAACTCCAAGACCAAGGTGCCAGCAGATTTGCTGTCTGGTGAGGGCCTGTTTCTCATAAATGATGCTTTCTATGTGTCCCCACTTGGTGGAGGGGGAACTTTTATAAAGGCACTATTCCCATTCATGCGGCTCCACCCTCATGACCTAATCAGCTCCCAGAGGCCCTATTTTTAAGGCCATCACCTTGGAAGTTGAGATTCCAACATATGAATTTTGAGGGGACACAAACATTGAGACCATACCACTGACCAGCCCCACATTTAAGATCCCAGAAATAGTCCAATGTGATGCAAATGAATATAATGATTACTGGTTTCGTAGGGCGCCCTTTATTTACAGACTTAACTTCCAGGCTGACTTTACTTCTAGGGGTTCTTTTTTTTTGGATGGAGTTTCGTTCTTGTAGCCCAGGTGGGAGTACAATGGCATGATCTCGGCTCACTGCAACCTCTACCTCCCGGGTTCAAGTGATTCTCCTGCCTCAACCTCCTGAGTACCTGGGATTACAGGCATGCACTACCATACCTGGCCAATTTTTTATATTTTTAGTAGAGATGGCATTTCTCCATGTTGGTCAGGCTGGTCTTGAATTCCCGACCTCAGGTGATCAACCCCCCTCGACCTCCTAAAGTGCTGGGATTACAGGCATGAGCCACCGTGCCCTGCCACTTCTAGGGGTTCTTTGACATGGGGATGATGAGGAGCAAAGTCAGATATCTCAAGGCCTATTGGAATTGGAAGAGCTCACTATTATTCAGAGGTAGGCCTTAGGGTATCTCAAAGGAAGCAGAGAAGCAGGGATAGAATCACAATGTCAGAGGTAGAAGAACCTCATGTAACATTTAATCCCACCTCCCTGTTTTAGAAGAAAAGTAAAAAGATACAATTCACCTCATGGTTTCCCCATTCCAGTCTGGGAGACAGTTACATCAGAGGAAACCTAGCATCTACACAGTGGGCTAAGCAGAGGGAGGGTTGGAAATTGACTTTTTAAAGTCACTGTTTGTTACTGTGAGGTATGAGGATAAGGGAAGGATTCAGACACATCACTAACTGGTGAGGGCCGTGAAGTAAACCACCAGAGCCAGGGAGCAGATAGGTGAGCCTGGCAGAGACTCAAGGAGGCCCCCGACACCACTGAGAACTGAAATGAGCTGGTGGGGGAGGCATCGTCAGGTTTTCACCAATCTGGGAGAGATGAGACCAAAAACTTAAGCTGCAAGCAGTGAGCGACAAAACAGATGGGCACTGCCAAGGAGACCAGAGATGCCAGAGAAGACTGAGGATATGGGAAACCTTTCACTCGACTGCTCTGTGGTCCTAGAGTCACCTCTCTCTGTCTACATTCAGCTGCCATCTTGGAGAAGAGAGCACGGTGAAGAAAAACGTGAGACACTGGGAAATTTACTTTTAGGCTGTTTCAGTTACTGCATTAGACTAAAGTTTCAGGACTGGACTGAATTTATTTTCTTATTTGACCCTTTGTGGGTGAGGTAGATCAAGAAGATCAGAATTAACTACAGATAAAATTTTAAAGGTACATTTCCCCTAAAACGTCTCCAAATGTGGTGTGAAAAAATCTGTAACCCTGTGAGAATTTAATAAAATATGTCCACTTTTTTATCTTCCCATTTGTGGTTTTCCCCAGTCCCGATTGAAAACTCACAGGCCTCTGCTGCTTCCTTTCCTTTCCTCCTTGGAGGATAGTGATTTATTCAGTATATAAATGCTATAAAGGACAGTGAAGAAAAAAAGAGCCACAAATGTCCTCTTGTTATTCCTCTCTAAAGAAATGATTATGATGAAGGCTGTAGGGGAATCTATAGGAAAAGTTGGGCTACAAGATTTCTGCTAAATTTTCTCAGGAACAAACTGTCAAATATGCAATCCAAGCATATTTGAGAACAAGATGATGTTTAGAAATGCTGAATGATTCGAACTACATTTTTATACCATCATAAAAATTGGTTTTGGCAGAGATAATTACTTTCTCAATAATTTTTAAACTTGTGTGTACCTCAGTGATTCTTTTATAAAAACATGTTTATGATTCATTTTCTTATTTTAACAATATCTAACAATGTAAGTCCATATCTAAGATACCCAAGCTTTAAATATCTATACATATAAACTGATTTCAGCACATTTTACTTCAAAACAGTAAAATGGCTTTTCCAATATCAAACAAGTCAAATTTGGAAAAGGTGTGAACCTGTATGAACATCCTGCATCCATGGAGATGTCATGACTAAATTCAGAAATAGTCTCATCTCTCCTGTTTTTGCTTCCTTATGTCTGAGTTTTACATCCAATTCTGTTTATTACACAGTAGCTTTCTATAAGATTGTACCCCTTTTAAAAAGTGTCTATTAATGTATATTCTAGGTGTCTGGAAGTCTTCTTCTACAGCTGGCTCTTGGTTGTCTCTGGGAATATGAATGGAGGGAGTGGAGTTAAAAGACATCTGAGGGCAAAAAGTCTAAAAAAATAAAAAAACAAAACAAAAGCTAAAACAAAGAAAAAAAGACATCTGAGGGCAATATTAATAAATAATCCAAAAGTTACACTGTAGTCAGTTCTCCCCAGAGCCTGATGATAGTGTTTCCCTCTCTCTCTCCTCCTTCTAAACACTGCTTCTGCCTGATGAGCACTGAAATGACTTTGATTTAGAGAGAAGGACAAGATGAGAAGAGGCGTGTTTATCATCAGCTCTGGAGAGTAGACCGTGTGTACAGATGCACTGCCCTTCCAGGCCCAGAGGGAGTTTTCCCCTTCAGGAACAAAAATCAGTCAGGCCAACTTACAACTCCCAGAGCACTGGAAGTGAGGGCTAAAAACTTCAGCCACTCTATCTCCTCCGTGAAGCGACCCATGTTCATCACACTCTTAAACAGATGTGTTGGGAGATTCAGCGCCTTCCACGTCTGGGCCAGCTCATCTGCACGGACGATCAGTCTGCCGGCAACCTGCAGGGCAGGGGACAGACATAACACAGAGGATGTGGGAAAAGTTGAGGCAAGACCCTGGGGAACACTCTGCCCCCAGGCCAGGTCCACATCTCCCAGCACATGGCAAGGGGCAGGAAAGGGGTGTTAGGAAGGCACAAGATGGCTCTGTGTGGCAGTTATCTTTGCAAATCCTAGTGCTGATACATAATTTATTAATTTTTAAACTTTAGGTGTTAGAATTATGCAAAAGATATACATTTATATGATATTTTAATTTTCCTGTGATGCTTTTATCTCTTACTGTATTCCTAAATTGTTTTATTCCTTATATGACAGGTAGAACAGCCTGAAAACAAAACCAAGAGGTAGAGTGCTTACCTGAGACCACTAACTAATGGTAAAACCACAACAAGACATAGGTCTCTTTCTTTCCGATTGCGCTGAGTTCTTAGCTCTAGACCTCAAGTGCATCCCTCATGCTTTTCCAGCAGCGATATGGGGTATGTGGCTGACCCACGGGGATCTGGTCTGGATGCCTTTTGTTGCTCGATCCCAGGTACTTTACAGCTCTGTCATGTTCACTGCACAAGGTACTTGGTGGATAAAGGGCAGGAGGGTGAGTGGCTGTTGGCCACCAATGTAATAAGGGCACAGATGCCCCAATGACGTGCTCCAACAGCTTTCCTGACCCTCTGATTCTAGTGAAATGCTAAGCCTCTGGGACTAAGCAGTTAGCCAAGCTAGTCCTAAATCACTCCAAACCTCTCTGTCCTGGATCATAAAGCAGGGTATGGTGATGCTCAACCATATTTCCTGGGAATTGGCCAAACCACAAACTTTCTCAAGCCGGACCCTCCTCATGCATCCATTCAACAGGCAGCTCCTAGGATGATGTGGCTGTGAAGAGTCTCACAGCCTCTCCCTAAAAGCTAAAAACTATGTCTGGACCTGGGATAGCTGGGGAGCTAAAATATGCCCTTCCCTGAACTGTGACTGGCATCATATTTTGGTCTTGATCAGGAAGGGAGACACTGTCGAGTGACTGAGGACCTATAACCAGAGAGATGGGATTAGCATTGCATTGAACCCCTGTACATTCTGCCAGCTTCAAGCAAATCTGGGATGACCCCACCAGCGACTCAGCCGACAGCCTATTTCAAAATTATTCCCATTTCTCTAAGGGAAGATTTACTTTCAGTCCATGGTTTAGTGTATTTTATGCTGGTTCTAAGCGGTCAGCTGACTGGCAGAACAACAGTGGGCTTTTGTCTGTACCCACCCAGCCTCAACACTGTCCCTACATTCCCCTCAATGCTGCAGCAGGGCCCTTACCTGACAATGCAGGATCTTTAAAAGCTCCGGTGTTAATTGTGTCCAGTTACCGACTTGCTCAGACTGCTCTCTCACCGGAGGACTCTCTCCACGGCACAGGGCCCCAAAATAACTACAAGAAAAAAAGTCAGAGAGTAGAAGGAGCATCCTGTATGCCAGTGGCCTCTGGCTGTTCTAGCAATCCTTCCCCCTTTTTCTGAGGGAAGGAGGTAGAGAAAGGAACCCTTGTTACGTGGCTTCTATGTGTCAGTGTGTTTAGTTCATTTACATCTGGGAAAAGCCTGAATATGTTGCTTTCCACTTAGGGCATAGAGAATTCTTTGAGAATACAAAGCTTTGTTCTCTAAGGATGAGGAAGAACCAAAGGTTTGGGTATGCAATTCCTGGAGCATATTGGGGTCAAGTTTTTTTTCCAGTCATTTCTGAGTGTTTTGTACGCACAAATAGATAGTATATTACATATGTATATGTAACCTTGGGAAGAGAAGTTGGAAGATAACTAAAGTAATGTACATAAGAACGGGGAAGACAGCACAGGAATGGTGGCGAGAGCCTGTAATCCGGTGACTCTGGAGGCTGAGGTTGGAGGACCACTTGAGCCCAGGAGTTTGAGGCTGCTGCAAACTGTAATTGTGTCACTACACTCCAGCCTGGGTGACACAGTGAGACCTCCATCTCTGAAGAAACAAAAAAGGAGGGAAGGGGAAGAGATGGAAGTTTCCTAGGGGTGAATCAGGAAGGGTTTCTGGCTGGAGATGGTGAGACTCGGGGCTTCAAGAGGGAAGGGAGAAGGGTTGGCAGGGCACTGTGCGAGGCTCAGGAGAGAAGACAAGCCGAAGAAGGTTTGAGATGATCTTAAGTTACGTGGGGCCTGTGAAAGAAAACTGTTTATCTTCTCTCAAAATTTTCAGTCAAATCTGCCTGCTCCTCAATATTTTGTGGAGTGGACTTTGTTTTGGGGCAATGTGGAACAAGTACTGAATTCTGTTTCAGCATTGAGATAAGATGAAAAGAGGCTGCCTGCAGCAGGGAACGGTGAGCCGTTGACATGGGTCACCAGTACTGTATGGCAGGGTCTGTCTCCATCAAAAGCCTGGTTATTGACGATCCGTGAACCACAAATGTTTTGTGTTATAACACATGCCCACCAGAGGACAAATAAGTACATGTTCTGCCAATGGCTGATCACAGGTTTCTTCATTGACAACACATATGTAGGGAAATTCTTACTTTAAATGAATTAAATGCATATTTTGTCTTGGAAATACTTTGTAGAGTTTTATTCTCTGAAATGCTACAGGTTTTAAGTAAGTCACCTAAAACCATCTGAGAGGTGCTTTTCATGTCTGTATAGAATGGAGGGGCTCTTAGGTCATGCTCTCCTTTTTCATTGTGTTTAAACTACAAATGAAGTTTTCATAGATGTCTAAAAAATGTATAGCACATGATACAATATGCGGGCAAGCAGGCTACAATAGTGGAATTCCTTCTTACATCAATGTCAGGGACAATACTTAGCAATTGTTTACTATAAAACAGCAGCACAAGAACAAGGAAATGGATTTGAAACTAATGGATAAGATAAAGTCTGTCTATCTGACTATGCCAAAATAAATTAGTCTTCTGATGCTAAAGTTCAATCTTAGAGGCAAATATATAAAATTTAGAAAGGAAAACTAAACAGGGCTCATTACTAGGCAAAGCAACCCCCAGTTATGTTTCTTTTTATGAGCACCACTGGCTTGTTTTCCTTCTAATTACAAAGCTGCATCCTAATCCAACCCAGGAACACAACAGCGCTGGCTCAGAGACTCTGAAAGGCCCCTCTAAGGTGACATTTTGTGTCTTCTTAAAGGTGTCCACACTTTCTCCCTACCATCTGCGCAGTGTACCCACTCACAACCTCAGGCTGAGGGCATCTTCGCTTCCCCAACTCACTGACTTTCTCTCGACAGCCTCCCTTACTCTCCCTTTCCCACTGAAACCCCACTAAGCAGGGAATCATCAAACAGTAAAAACAGCCTGAAAATGGTCCGTGAGGTCTAGTGATCTTCCAACTACTATCTCAAGTCCTTGTTCCCCAGTTTCAAGCAAGCAAGTTTGTCTAAGAAGCAGTTTCACAGCTGAGAGGCTTTCTGTGCAAAGCTGCTTCAAGCCAGGCCTGTAGCAACTGTTGTGTAAGCTCCATCTACTAAGCAACCTTTGGAGGTCTCTCCTGAAAGGAGGCACCCAGGTTTGAGGCACACTGTTTCCAGCCATGCCTGAGGACCTCAAAACTCTGCTTGGCCTTTCTCCAGAATGCAACGTGTACTGTGCGAACATCTTGATGTTGGCAGAACAAATCACTTGAGAGAAACACTAAATAACCATAATTTCCTCAAAGACAAGATTCAAAGTGTCTTTGGCTGGGTCCAAGTATAACAGCAGGAGAAGAAACGTCTCCTTAAAAGGGTGAACTAGCTGGACTAGTCCCACCCAATCCACCTAGCACTGCCGCTTCCCTTCCCAGGCTTCACTGCTGCCATCCAGTGGTGAGAGGAGAATGAAGAAAGGGCAGATTAAGCTTTGGAGATTCCAGCGCTTCTTTCCACCGGGACTGGGAAAAGGAGAGCAGGGAGGAGGTGGGTGTGCATATGCTGGAGTGAAACCAGTCATATAACTCTTGCTGCTTGCCCCAGGACACGGCATATTGACCTGGCGTCCTACTGCTCAATCTGGCTCGCTTAGAGGAGGCATCCCATCCTCACCCAGTTAGATGTAGTGGATTTTAAAGCATCAAAGCAATGCAAGACCTAAAACCCACAAAGATGATGCCAGTTAGTCCCAACCCCAGGCTGCAGCCATGACAACCTCCGCGGTTGTCCAGGACCCTTTCTCCTGGAAGGTCCTCTAAGGGGTGAAGGAGAGAGAGGAGCACTTACTCGACCCCAAACTGGAGGAGGTCCTCCGGCTGCGCCAGGATGGCGGCTCTGGCAAACTTCTTCAGAATTTCTGGCAGCTCCGGCGGGATGCACCTTTGCTCCTCTGTCTGAGCCATTTTCTTTTATTTGGAGGAAGAGGAGGATACCATAATGATTAATTTTAGACTTTGCAAAGTATTAGAAAAGTTATAACAGTAATATAACCACTAAATCTATAGAGGAAAAAATGAATTTTTTAAAAACACAAATAAAAAACCTTAATCAAAAAGAAGGCAAGAAAGGAGCAGAGAAAACATAGGAAAAGTGGACAAATAACACGGTAGAAAATAATGCATACATATCAGTAATCACAATAAAAATATACGGGTTTAAATGTGCCAGTTTAAATACAGGTCTAGGTATGCCTGAAAAAACAAAGACACAGAAAGATTCGAGGTAAAAAGGGTATAAATTAGTAAATAATAAGGTGACATACTAATACCAGGCAAAAGATACTTTAAGGCAAAATGCACAATTAGGAATAAAGAGGGTCACTACAGCATGATGAAAGCTGTAATTGTTAAGACAATAGCAACAGTTCTCAATGAGTAATGCCACAGACATCCCTGTGGAGGAGTCTCACCATGTAGGTGGAAAAGCAATATATTGTTTATGGAGACAGATGTATAATATTATGAAAAAGAGTAAGGAGTGATAAATACAAGTTCAGAATGGTGGTTAACCCTGGAGGAGGAGGGAGAGGGATGTCATCAGGGAGATACAAGGGTCTCGGGACTAGTCGTAATGTTCTGTATTTTAAGCTGGATGGTTGCTGTCTAGATGTTTATTATTTTTGTACATATACTTACATCGTTTATCTAATTTTGAAGGTATGAAATATTTCATAATTTAAAAAGTTACTCTTTTGTTTCTGATGACTTTTCAACCCATTTTATCTGTCAAAGAGCAGTGCTTTATTTGCTCATATTGTCTGCACATATGTAAATATATTCTTTGACTGTGTTAGAAATACGTAACATTTGCCATTTTAACCATTTTGAGTGTATAGTTCAGTGGCATTAAGTACATTCACATTGTTGTGCAACCATGACCACCATCCATCTCCAGACCTTCATCTTCACCAGCTGAAATTCTGTACCCGTTAAGTGCTAACTTCCTATTCTCCTTCCCCACAGCTCCTGGCAACCACCATTCTTCTAGCTCCATGAATTTGACTACTCTACGATATAGAATCATATGGCATACAGTATTTGTCCTTTTGTGTGTGGTTTATTTCACTTAGCACAATGTCTTCAAGGTTCATTCATGTGATAGCATGTGTCAGAATTTCCTTTTTCTTCTGATCCATCATCAGATGCGTTATCCATTGCACCCCTGGTCCTGAGCTGAGAATTTCTTCGTTCTTAAGCTAAATAATATTTTGTTAGATGTACCACATTTTATCCATTTACAGGTCAATGGACATTTGGATCGTTTCCACCTTTTAGCTATTGTGAATAATGCTGCTATGAACATAGGTGTACAAATGTGTTCAAGTCCTTGCTTTAAATCGTGTTGGGTATATATACACCCAGAAGTGGAATGGATGGATCATATGGTACTTGTATTTTGAGTTTTTGAGGAACTACCATACTGTTTTCCACAGTGGCTGCACCATTTTCTGTGTCCATGTATTTTGGCAGGATCTTTTAGTTGTTGTGCAATTGTTTAATTTCTCTCCTGGAGTCTCAGATAATCTCATGTAAATGAAAAGATGTCCCAATCCTAATTAAAACACCTTCCATGACAACAATAACAAAGTTAACCCTTGGTCATATAACCTTGCTTATGTATCATACTAGTGTTACCTCTTGAAAGCATGAGTTCTACATGTTGATTATTTAACAAATGAATAGGCAGGCACCACTTCTGACTTAACTTAGCCATGCTCATATTTCAAAGATTTCCCTCCATGTTCACCTCATCGTCCACAATTCTAGGGACACATGGCTTATTTACAGACTGGCAAGTGTCAAGAAGCCTACACTAGATATAGAAGTACACAAGAAAAACTCTTGGATGAGGTATCTAACATCTGGAGGTAGGAGGAGGTCAGAAAATACTTTTCAGAGTGGTGATATCCGTACTGAGACCTGGAAAAACCTGGTTTGTTCATTGCTGTATTCAAGCACCCAGAAGAGTGCCAGGTACAAGGTATGTATTCAATAAGCATATGCTTGCTTATGAGAGTAAGGAGCTAATTCCACGTAGCTAGAAGGACTTAGGCAAAGATGTGTGGCTGTCAGAAATGTGACGAGTTCAGGGATCTGTAATTACGGAGTTCTAAAGTGGGCAAAGCAGGAGTGGTTGGGCCTAAGGTTGGAAATACAGCTAAGTACAGCTCCAGGCTTGGGCTTTGGAACTTTTTCTTGAAGGCAATGGGGAGCCACTAGAAAATTTAAGCACAAGAGTCACACAATCAGTGTTAGCTTGAGGGGCCAGTTATCAAGTTTTGCCTCTCAGCTCCAAATTCACGTTGTATTGCCTCCTCTGCAAAAATTGAACTAGGTCCTTTAACATTTTTCCCTTGCCAGCCACCTCAATGATAAGCTTTGTTAGTACAGGGCACTGGAAGGACTGGAGGAGGAAGAGGTTTCTGTTGGGAATTTAGGAGTGTTCTTCTTGCTAGGATCCAGAACTTGTAGTTTCTCTCGTGCTGGGGTTCTGTGGCACACAGCTTTTCCAGCATCTGGTTCATGCAGTGTGTGATCTTCCGAGTACCCAACTGCTGCGGTACACAGCGGCCAACAGTGCTCCGCGGCTAGCAGTGTACCCGGCACCTCTTGGGTAGCTCTGTAACAGAGTGCTGCCAGTGAGTCACCTTTGTGTGAGTGGCTTCTCTGGTGTTTCAGAGAGTAAATTTTGCCTGCCTGGCACCTCAGCAATTTCTCTGCTCCCCAGTCAGCTGTGGCCATATCCTCTGCACCAAGCTCTGGGAAAGGTTTCCTCCTTGGGTGATCTTCTTAGGGGGAGGGATTGCTCCTTATATCTGTGATTCCCGTATATTTTAGATCTCTTCTGACATATTAACCAATCCTTCATTACTCCACTCCCGTCATTAACAATTCTTTTTTTTTTTTTTTTTTTAACCAGGAGAAGCTAGTCTTTCAGGATCAAACAATTCTTTATATTGAGGTTGTTAAAATTACTATATGCTCAAAAATTACTGTATGATTTATTTCTCTTTGTTGAACTCTGAAACATAGGTTGACTGACAGCTGTGTGGCTGGGCTGAAGAGAGGGTGGTGAACCTTCAGGCAGGGAGCCAGGTTAGGAGGATATGGCAGAACTTTTTGACAACTCTCAGGAGCTTCACTGCCTTGAAAAGTAGTTGTCATAGAGATAGAAGAGACAGGTATTTAAGAGATAGGATCTATAGGATTTAGTAACTATGGAGGGGGGAGGAGGAGGAAGAGAAGGTAGAGGAGGAAAAAAAGAAAATGGAGGAGGAGGAGGAGGCGGTGAAGGACAGAAGTGTCTAGAGTGACTATCAGTTTTCAAGCTTGGATGACTGGGTGCACGGTAGTGCCACCCTTGTAGAAATGGAAAACATTGAAGTGGGGCCAGGTCAAATTATCCTCCCATGTTCCCATTTACTTTCAGGAGTTCCATGTAGTTTTGAGTCATGAAGAATTGGAATCATAGATTCTCTAAGTTAAAGAGGCACCAAAGCCCAGCTTTTCTGCCTTTAGGCAATATTGGCCACTTGTTCACCTCAAAGAAGTGGGAGAAAGGTCCATTCTAAACATTCCTCAATTCTAACATTTCGTAAAGTTCTTTTCCATTTTTAAATCTCTTAGATGGTAGGCCTTCTTCAATTACACAGGGCTCATCCATACCCCCAACTTTTCCAGTTCAATAAATTTCCTCTTAAGTGGAACCTACATGCCTCCCAATGTGAAATGACAGGCCAACATATACCTGCCAAGTGCTGAAAATAGACTATAGTCTTGTTTCTGGAATCTCTCACTCGGTTTTATTGGTATGGGCTAAACAGGGCTTCTGTTTCATAAATGAAAGTCTCCAGTTACATGAATGAAAGGCTCCAGGCCAGAAGTTTAGAGGCAGTTTCTATGAGCGGCACTTGGAACCAAGCACCAGGCAGTTGCACATCCCTGTTTGGGTTTGGGATGCGGTTGCTCTTGTTTGGAATGCATTCTCCCCCTCTTAACAGGTTAATTCTTCCTCTGGAGGTCTGCACAGCCTTCCCTGACCACCCTCAGTTCCACTACACATACCCTACAGAGCATCACTTACCTATTGTTGGTGTGATTCTTTCAGTAACATGTGCCTCCCCCAGTAAACTCCACGGCAGGAAGGGTCAGTTTTTGCTTGTGACACCCTCCCAATGCCTAGCCCAGTGCCTGGAACCCAGTGTTCAATAGATACTAGTAAAAATGAACGTGTGACAGCAGTCTATGAAGTGCTAGCTATAAAAGGTATCAGTGATAGTAGTCTCGGTACGCCTAGGTATGAAGTGCTAGCTATAAAAGGTATCAGTGATAGTAGTCTCGGTACGCCTAGGTATGAAGTGCTAGCTATCAAAGGTATCAGTGATAGTAGTCTAGGTACGCCTAGGTATGAAGTGCTAGCTATAAAAGGTATCAGTGATAGTAGTCTAGGTACGCCTAGGTATGAAGTGCTAGCTATAAAAGGTATCAGTGATAGTAGTCTCGGTACGCCTAGGTATGAAGTGCTAGCTATCAAAGGTATCAGTGATAGTAGTCTAGGTACGCCTAGGTATGAAGTGCTAGGTATGCCCACTGGTCCTCATGACAATTCCCCCAAAGCTATTTCTATATCCATGTTTCTGATGAATAGGCAGAGGTGTGGCTCCTCCGTGAAGGGCTCTGTTTCCAGACTCGAGTCTCCCAACCAGAGTCCTCCGGTTAAGAAACCATATAATAGCATTCTGGGTACAAAATACGCACACAATTGGACCAGAAAGCCATAATCCCCCCCAGTCACATTCTCTTAAAGATCTCCTTGCCTTCCCTCCCCCTGCTCTGAAACAGGGAGAGGCTTAGAATCCAGGGGCGTCGGGTAAGACTCCTCCCTCAAACCCGCTCAGGGCCTGCCCTCCCTCCACTTCCCCTCCGGGGTGGCTACCTCAGGCTCGCTCCCAAACCGGCTGTCTGGCTTGAGGGGACACCTGCGCTTGGCCTCAAGGGAGAGATGTGGGGAGAGATCCAGTGCCTACCACCCTTGGCAGAAGACCAGTAGAAGCTAGGCGGGGAGGGCAACAGCGGCGGGGGGCAGGGAACAGCAGCGGCGGGGTACGACGGCCGTTAGCGTTAGGACCGTTAGCGCTCCGCCTTCTCCTGGCAACCCCCGCACGGGCTCCGCTGCCAGGTCTCCGAGGGCGCGCCGGGTGTGACGTCACGAAGCCGCCCCGCCCCCTCAGCAGAGGCGCGTTCCCAGGGTCGTCACGGAGCCGCCCCGCCCCCTCAGCAGAGGCGCATTTCAGGGTCGCGCTAGGGCGCTGCTGGGGAAGCGGAAAGCTGCTCTGGGCTTTGCTGGTGGTGGAAGGACCAGATGGCCTGGAGGGTGAAGGATAGGGGTGGGGGCGTTAGGAAACCCGGGCTGGGGGCGTTCGGGGTGGGGCGGAATGTGTAGCCATAGACTGTGAGCTTCTGTAGATGAGAGAGGGGAAGTGGAGCTTAACTTGATCTTTTGGCTTGTGGAAAGTGGACAGGTGAGAAGTACTCGAGAATCATAGTAACAAAGACTTCTTAAAACGCGTTTTTTGGTGCCAGGAATTGTTCTGATTGCATTACACACATGAACTCATTTCGTCCTTACTGTCTCCCACGAGGCAAGTACTATTGTTATCCCCATTTTTACAGATGAGGGAACTGAGCGCAGAGAGGTTAAACTTGTCCAAGATGACAGTCAGCAAGTGATAGAGTCAGGATTTGAACCTGGGTTGCGTGATCCCAGATTCCTCACTCTTGATGGTAAGTAAGGGGGATGGAGTGGGAAGGAACAGAGCCCGAGATACCTCCTGGGAACAACAGGGAAAGACAGAAAATATTTACTGGGTAGAATGTGGTCACTGTGCTGGGCACTTTTACCAACATGATGAGAAAGTCTCACAGTAACTCTGAAGGTAGGCATTGCCTTCCTTTTAGAAACAAAAAGCAGGTTCAAGGCTTCAAGTAATTTTGCCTGTGATCAAACAGCTAGCAGTAGGGCCCAGGACCCAGCCTGACTCCAGGGCTTCTGATTTCAAGACTGGGGTGTGTGTGTGTGTGTATGTGTTTCTGAGACAGGGTCTCGCTCTGTCACTCAGGCTCAAGTGCAATGGGATGATCATGGCTCACTGCAGCCTCAACCTCCCAGGTCTAAGCAATCCTCCCACCTCAGCCTCCCAAGTAGTTGAGACTACAGGTGCATGCCAGGCTAATTTCTATATTATATTTTTATAAATGGGATTTTGCCATGTTGCCCAGTCTGGTCTTGAACCCCTGGGCTCAAGTGATCCACCTGTGTTGATCTACCAAAGTATTGGGATTACAGATGTGAGTCACTGCACCCGGCCTCAGGACTGTTCTTTTTAAGCACCCAAGGAGACAAGAAAAGCCCCATCTTTCTTTGCTACAACGCTTGTCACTTCACACCCATTTTAAAGGTGCCCATTGCATCATCTAAACCTTCAGTCCTTTTATACAACAGTATGTATCAGTCTAAATCAATTAGTTCACCCAGGGCCTTCAAAGCTTTTTCTGGTTGTGAGATGAAAGCCTTTGTCTCTCCTTAAAGCAATTTTAAGCATCAGTGAACAAGTGGGGGAAGTAGATTTTTGGTTTATGCATGCAGAAAGCTTTTTACAGCCTGCTGCTATTCATTTGTAAAGAGGCCACTCTGCTGGCATTTGTCAAAATCCTGCAGTCCTTGCACACCTGGAGAATCCTGGATGATCTGGGGATGGCAACTGTCCACAGGCAAGATCTGGGGATGAAGAAATTCTAGTCACTGGCTCTCAACTGCCTTTCTGAGACCTCTGTGGAGGGGCTGCCAGGTGCTGGTGTAGGCACCTGACCAACAGGGTGTGCCTTAGGATAGGAGGGAGAGGCTGGAGGCCTGAGGGCTGCAGGTGTATCTTCCAGGATAACAAGAATGCTCTGGCCACTGGGGTCTGTTCTGTGTATGCACATGGGACGAAGGTGTTCCAGTCTATTGCTGCTTTCATGCAGAGTAAATAATATCGACAGGAATGAATAATAATGATCTTTGGGCAGAATGGGTTTTCAGACAAAGCACTAGCAGCTGGAGATGGAAGACAATAATAATGATCTTTGGGCAGAATGGGTTTTCAGACAAAGCACTAGCAGCTGGAGATGGAAGACGAAATAAAATAGAATGTTAGTGTAGCAGGTTAAACACAAGGAAGGAATTTCCTGACACTGTTTGACTGAGGTGGTTTGAGTAAGAGACCAGGTTGAGAGGCATAGGTTAGATTATCCTGGATCTATCAGTCAATAAATATAACAGATACAATCAAGAGAATATAATTTTTTTTTAATTTTTTATTGGATTTTAGGTTTTGGGGTACATGAGCAGAGCATGCAAGACAGTTGCGTAGGTACACACATGGCAGTGTGCTTTGCTTTTCTTCTCCCCTTCACCCACATTTGGCATTTCTCCCCAGGCTATCCCTCCCCACCTCCCCCTCCCACTGGCCCTCCCCTTTTCCCCCCAATAGACCCCAGTGTTTAGTACTCCCCTTTCTGTGTCCATGTGTTCTCATTTTTCATCACCCACCTATGAGTGAGAATATGCGGTGTTTAATTTTCTGTTCTTGTGTCAGTTTGCTGAGGATGACATTCTCCAGATTCATCCATGTCCCTACAAACGACACAAACTCATCATTTCTGATTGCTGCATAATATTCCATGGTGTATATGTGCCACATTTTTCCAATCCAGTCTATTATCAATGGGCATTTGGGTTGATTCCAGGTCTTTGTATTGTAAACAGTGCTGCAATGAACATTCGTGTACATGTGTCCTTATAGTAGAACGATTTATAGTCTTTTGGATATATACCCAGTAATGGGATTGCTGGGTCAAATGGAATTTCTATTTCTAAGGCCTTGAGGAATCGCCACACTGTCTTCCACAATGGTTGAACTAATTTACACTCCCACCAACAGTGTAGAAGTGTTCCTTTTTCTCCACATCCTCTCCAGCATCTGTTGTCTCCAGATTTTTTAATGATCGCCATTCTAACTGGCGTGAGATGGTATCTCAATGTGGTTTTGATTTGCAAAGAGAATATAATTTTACAGGGAAATTATAATAACACAATTCAGGAAAGTTGCTTTCTTCTAAAACAGAGGTAAGAGTATGGGAGGGAGGAGCACATAGACATTACTGATAGTGGTCTAGCTCTTGGGCTGGATGGTGGGTTCATGGGTGTTTATTATATTTCAGTAAAAATATATTTTTAATTATATTTTATTATATTTCAGTAAAAATATATATGTTTTATAAATATATTTTATTTTGGTAAAAATATATTTTTATTTTAATATTGAAGACAGTAAATATAATGTCTTCATTATATTTACTGTCTTCAATATTAAAATAAAATCTTTTAGTGCATAAAATCTTTTATCAAGTAGGTTACGTTGTTTTCTGCTATTTTCTTGTACAAATGAAAATTGACTATATCCTTTCTCATCTCCTTTTCTCTACCAGATAATTCCCATCAGCATAAAAACATTTCCTTTTCAGCTTTGACCCATTTCTCCGCTTCCCTTTGTTGCCAAGTTCTTTAAAAAGAATTGCCCATATCTGCCACCTCTAATTTCTCTCTTCCAAATCTCTTTTGAATCTACTTGAAACAGGCTTTCATCCCCATAACTCCACTGAAATGACTTGTGTCCGGGTCCCCAATTACATGCTGTTAAATACAACATCATCTCTCAGCCTCAGCTCAACCTATCAGCAGCATTTGACTCTGTTGATAACTTTCGAATAATTGAAACACTTACTTTCCTTGGAGTCTAGGACGTTACACTCTTGGTTTTTCTCCTTCCTCATTGGCTGTTCTTTCTCAGTCTCTTTTGCTTGTTCTTCCTCCTCTCCCTGACATTTTGATATTGGAGTGCCCCAGGATTTACACTTGGACTTCTCTATCTATATGCACTCTCTTTTTGATCTCATCCAGTCTCATGTTTTGGATATCAACTTTATGTCTTCAGCCCTAATTCTTTCCTAAACACCACAATATAACATCCAAGTGTCTACTTCGCACCATCGCATGTCTAATAGGCTTTTCAGGCTGAATACCCGACTAGTGTACTCCAAGATTCCTCTCCAAACCAGCTCCTCCAGGCTTCCCTGCAGCAGCAAATGACAACTGTAAATTCCAGTTGCTCAGGCTAAAAAACCTTGGCCTTATCCTGGGCTGCTTTTTCTCCCACACCTTAAATCCAATCAGAGCAAATGCTATTGGCTCTATCTCCAAAATGCATTCAGAATTAGAGCACTTCTCTCCACTTCCATCACCTTGGTCCAAGCAAACCTCATCTCTCACCTGGACCATTACAGTGGCTTCCTAACCCATCTCCTGTTTCTGCCCTTTTCCCTGCTGTGGCCTGTTCTCACCACAGCTGCCTGATCACTTTTTTGGAAACCTAAGACTGATCATGTCATTCGTCTATTTAGAACTCTCAGTGGCTCCCACCTTATGTGAGTAAAAGTGAAAGTAAC